AGCCAAGCAAGCTTTACTTTGCACCCCAGGTTGGTTTTGGAAATTGACTCATAGAAATCTCTCTACCAGAATAGTCTATTCTGTATTCTGTTGTGCCCTATAAATAACTATTAAGAATTATAGTCCATTAATTTACAGTGACAATTAACGTATTGTTCAGATTTTAACTGTTAAAATGATGAGAACCCACTTTATAGTAGTTTACTGTTATGCAGTAATAGAAAATGGATCCTACACATATTTTTATTTATTTCTTTCTTGAAAATTAAAATATAGTGGTTTTTAATGACTATGTCTATAGGAAACAAGGCAGAGCTTCCAAAAGGGGTTAACTGTGTCTCTATCTTCTCAGACCCAGTGAAAATGCTAAAGCTGAAGGGGATAGGGGCAAGAGAGTTGAGAATAGCCTGAGGAAAGCAAAGTTAATCAGACATCAGGAATGCTCTTGAAGCTGCTTTGAAACCACACTAAAAATTAAGAAAGAGAAAGGAGAGAATTAGTTTGGACTTTGCAGAATCACAGTTCTTCCCAGGACTCACATGTGTAATTCTGTAGATTCAAACAAAAAGTCAGGTCACAATACTGTGGAGACAAGTTCTCCAGTGATATATTAAATCATTCTTTGAAAATCTGTCAACTTGGATCTAGTTTCTTTTCATGCACCAAGATGGAGCTAAACCAATGACATCCTCCTCAAACTCTATATTTATTGCTTGAAGAACAGGGGAGAATATGTTTTTTTCTGCATGCTCACAGAGCAAGTGCAGGAAAAAGAAGGAGGCATTGTGTTTTTTTATTCTAAAGCATGATGTTTGCCAGCTAAGGAACATGCTGGAGCATGAGAGATGTAAAGAATCATTGCAACTGTTTGGACTGGCTTTGTTTCTCAGCAAGGGAAGCCCACTTTCCAGGCCAGGTCACAGGTGAGGTTTTCGAGGTCAGGGATTTTTTTCTCTCCCTTATGATCCTTCCCACCCAGGTTTTCACCATTCGAGAGGAATAAATGATAGATTGAGAGACACTGAGTGGGCCAAAAGTCTGACAAATAACCCAGATTTTCATAAAATGAAGGAGTTCATTTGGTAATTGCCAATTTACCCTGGTTTTGCTGCCAGCTGGTTCCCTTTTCAGCTGACTGGCCCAAGTGACTATTGAGACCATTAAACCATCTAAGGGTTAAGGAGAGAGAAGTTCCTTTTTTCATTTCCTACTATATTTCATTTTCCCCATTTTACAGATGGAGAAACTGAGGATTATGGAGGTTAGATAACTTACTCAAATCCAAAGAGCAAATAAGTGGTGGAAGTAGGATTCAACCCCAAGACTGTCTTATTAAAATAGTTGTGTTCTCAGTCACTGTGCCACACAGTACAGAAGAGGTGTTGGCTAGAATACCTCAGGGCCTTAATATTAATAATTAACACTATTATTGAGAGCTTATCCTATGCTAGGCCCTATTCTAAACATTCTCCATGTATTAACTCATAATACTCTAAATCTCACAATGCTATAAAAAAGGTACAATGATTTTAAAGATAAGAAAAGTGAGGCACAGAGAACTAAATTTCTTATGTGCACAGAACAAATAAGTGGTGTAGCTGGACCACACATTCAGGCAGTCTGACTCCGAAGACCATCTTCCTAACCTCTTAAGCAATGTTGAAGGTAATATGTTCATTTCTGTATGAGGCAGCCCAGTCCATTTTGAGGATCTGCTTTCTTTGTTAGAAATTTGGGCCTGCAGCTCGAAGGGACTTCTCAGAAGCAAACAGTAGAGTTCAAGAGTCCAGCCTACGGTCGAGGCTCTTGCTCAATTCCTTCCCAAAATGTGTATCTCCATTACCCTTTAACCTGCATCTTTGAACAAACTGATATATGGGGAATTCAGCAACGGCAGATCTCAGCTGTGCCTTTAATGTCTGATGAGCCTGCTAGTACACTATGTTTTTCATCTGATCTAAAGGAGATCTAATGAGAGATCATTTCCTGATAACACATTGTCTGCTTTCAACATCCCTAGGCCAACCACTTTCCTGCAAACAATCCCTATTTTGGTATAATTGCCTTTGAAAAGGGGGCACAAGAGGCAGCAAAACTCCTCAGAGTTTGGGTCTGATTTCCTGAGGTGTTCCATTTCAGAAGAGGCCCCTGACAACAGGCAGAGAATAAAAACAAGTGTGGTCTGGGGCAGACAGTGTTTTTCAAACAGTTGGCCAAATTTCTCCTGGCAGCCTGGAAGCAGCTGAATCATCAAACGCTGGGCCTTTAACGAGATGGAGGCTGGGCTGTATTGAAGTGCATTCCAGACTGACTGTGAAACCCAGAGCTGCTGCTGCTTTACCAACGCTGGCTCCCTTCCAAGGGGCTGGCTGGGCTGAACTGCTCATCAAAGCTTGATTTCATCTCTTCTCTCTCTTTTTTCCTCCTCTTTGTGATTTCCCATATAGCATTTGTCTGCCTTTGGATGGAATATTTGAATAAATTTTGGGGTCACCTCAGGTACAGCCTCTGCTCTGCAAGCTAAAGCTAATGGAATCTATTTCCTGGTCAGAAAGTCAAAATAGCAGAGGAGAAGGTCACTGAGATGGAGTGCTCAGGAAATAGACAAGAATGGGTAGACATTCATTTCTGAAAGGTAGAAATGACCTAGGTATTCAGAGGCTGAAAGCCAGATGTCTGGACAAAACCCTAGAGTCAGTTTAAATCTTATTTATGTTAAAATGCATCATGAAATCCTTTGACTAAAACTTCGGAGAGTGGAGGGTAAGGAAGAGGGCCTAAGTAGGGTAATGAGTCTTGAAAATAAAGAGATCCCTCATTTATATCAGAAACAAATGTTTGGACTCATCAAGCATGAAGAATGAACAATATTTTCTGTGTCTTTTAAGTTGACTACCTGTGACTACACGTACCATTCCTAAGCCTAATTATGAACAAGAACAAAAATATCTGTTTTGTTTCTCCATCTCTGCTAATATGCAGATAACTATTGTTTAATTACATTTGGCCCTAAAAAGTAAGGGGAAAGATGAAATGTCTTATAGACTGACAGTGTCCTGATGGGCACAGATCAGAATCTAGAGCTGACCTCAACCTGTTCAGATAGATTTTTCAACCAAAGGAATACTGTGGAGCCTTCTTTCACTGTTAACAGTAAACTGTGAATGCATGAAGGAGGGGGAGGTTGTGACTTGGAAAGAACCTTGAAATTCCACAATCCTATAATCCATTGTCTGGACTCTGACGGGAAAGTGAAAGAAACTGGATTCTCCTCCTTTCAGTCCTTGCCAACAGCATTCCTCCAGTCTGTTCTCCCTGACCCCACCCATAATAATAATAATGTGTGCTATTTTTATAAAACTCTAAAGAACTTTTACACACTTTTATATCTGATCTATACAACTTTGAAAGGATAGAAATGAGATTTTTCCCTTTTTACAGATGAGAACACTGAGGTCCAGAGATATTCATTGATTTTCCCAAAGTCACAAGGGAAATTAACTGTAGAGCTAGGTCTGCTAGGTCATTAGTTCCTGATGCCATTATTCCTTTTACACCAAACCATGCTGATTGCAGGGCCAGTTCTCAAATTTTCAGCTACATCAGAATTACCTGGGAAGCATTTTACAAATGTAGGCTTACAGACAGTATCTTCAGAAATAAAGTCGGTCTAGAATAGGTGTCTGGAATCTGCATGTTAAACAAGGTCCCCAAATTCTTCTAATGCAAGTGGTCTTTGGACCATACAGCAAATGAAACTAAATCCATAAGCCCTGAGCTGTTCAGAGATTTTATGTAAATCTCTATAATCCTTTAAATTAAAAGTTCACACAGGGATGGAAGAAAACTAAGTGGGCTATTTATTCTTAAAAGAACCATGAGATGAGGGAGTAGAGGAGAATAGATGTTGTCTTTGACAAAGGACACTTGCTTCCCCAACTCCCTCCCTTCAAAATCTCTTTTTCACATGAAGATGGAGTCAAATGAACATGAAAGGAAGCCCTGAAGATGAGGATGTCTTGCAAACTGGCTCCTGAACACATGGTCAATAGCCAAAGAAAGGAACTTTGCAAACATGGCATGTGGGCAGCTCTAGTTTAGTAAGGTAAATATACTTGAACCTCAGGTCTTTTTCAGAATAATTGGTAGGGTCTTTTTACTCTGGAGCCAAATTGCCTGGATTTGAATCCTCCCTCTGCCAATTATTAGCTGTGTAAACTTAGGCAAGTCACTTAACCCTTCCATGTCTCAGTTTCCTCAACCGTACATGGGAATAAAATTACTCTATATTTCATAGGGTTGTTGTAAGGGTTAAATGAAAGAATGCACATACACCATTTAGAACAGTGCTAGCATCTAGTAAACAGTAATGGTGTTATTATTAGTTACAATTCCAAGTCATTGCTGAGTGGCAATCAATAAAGGATGGCTTAAGCCTAGAATCAGTCATTTTAATGATTTGCATGCCTTTGATTCAGTAAACTATGAAACAAAGGTGCTCTGAAGAGCCATAGATGGCACTGCTGTGGCAGTCTGCTAAGTCTCTTTTCCAGACTAAAAGAAAAATCCCAACAAGATATGGGGCTTCAAGTGTTTTCTGTGGCAGCACCATAAGACAAAGAGACAATTGACCACCAAACACAGTGCTATTTAACTCCTCCTAAAAAATATTGAGTGGGCCCTGGCAGGTGTGGCTCAGTTGGTTGGGCATAGTCCCATGCACCAAAAAGTTGCCTGTTAGATTCCCAGTCAGGGCACATGCCTAGATTTTAGGCTCAATCCCCAGTGAGGGGCATGCAGGAGGCAGCCAATTGATGTTTTGCTTGCACATCGATGTTTCTCTCTCTCCCTCTCCCTTCCTCTTTCTCTAAAAATCAATTAAAAATCCTTTAAAAAATTATTCAGTGGAATTTAACAAAAATATTGTCAGTGTTACTAAATAGCAAAGTACACATTCAAAGCACTGGTGCAATGCTATTATTCCTCTTTAACTTTTCCAGCTCAAGACTGCTCCATACATGACAGAGGATGATGATGATGATGATGACGACGATAATAATGAAAATACCAGGGCACTAAGGCTTCTCTAAGAGTATTAGAAAGGCCTATGGGGACACAGGCCTCAGTCATTTGCACACTATGGCATATAACATAGTGGAAAGTAATAGAAATTATACCCAAGGACTGGCTTCCCAAAATTCATTGATGGATAGTATTTTGGGATTTGGGGAGGGTTTTGTTGGTAGATTTATGGGAAACATATTAGGTGTCTACAGAACCTAGTATATAGATGTGTGGGTGGGAGGGGGAGGGGAAATGGAGAGAGAGAGAAGTTGGAGGAGAGAGAAAGAAAAAGAGAAGTTGATAGAGACAGAGGCAGAGAACAATTATGTGAATGCATGTTGGGTGAGAGTGAGAATTAAGGGTAAAAAACAAGAGAAAAGAATTTTTGAAAAGGGGTGGTAGGAGACAGGGAGTGGTCTAGCACTGTGTCCAGAATCTCCGAGAAGTTTCTGGAGCACGTCATGTCTCAAAGGGAAAGCAGAGTTTTATTCCAGTCTGAGTCAGCCCACCTACGAGCAGCTTTGCTCCCTGCTGGCTGTGCTGTCACTCATGCTCATAGGCACATCTGCTTCAGTGTTCCCAACCCATTTTATGGTATATTCATCTTTGCATTTGCTGCTCATGTGACCACCAGCCAGCCAGTGAGGCGTCAGAGTACCAGCAAGTAGCCTAGGTTGAAGTGCAAAGGAAACACTGACAAATATAAAATACTTATATTCATGAGTATCTGGTACCAATTACAGCCAGTTAGCACTTAAAAAAATTCAAGAGGCTAGGAGCAGGGATATCAATATAGAGGTACAAAGGCTTGTGTCTTTGATTATGTGCATATGTGCATCTAAAGAACACACTTGCACATAGAAATCTTTCAGTAACTGGTGATTCTTATGAAAATGATATAAGAAGAATAAGTCCACTGCTGGCTTTCTCTTTCAACAGATTCAGTTACATAGTGCAAACTGTTCACAGATCAGACCATTTATTTCCTCATGAGTGTCTGTTTGGCCTGGACCCAAGGCCTGCTGGGCTACAGGGCAATGGCGGCTACAAGAGCAGGTTGGCTACTGAACTTTTGTGCACATATAACTCCCACATTTTGCCCTTGGAATTGGATAGTCCCTTGCAGAGTACATTGAACTTGAAAGACCTTTTTCCATGAATTTTGCTGTCTCCAAAAACACCCAAGGCTTTTCTTATAATCACAGTTCAGTTGAACTTTGACAAGCTTTTATACAGACAAAGTTTATTTTAATCACTTAAACAGGAGGACATCATGAAATATGTTTTCATTCTGATTACTTTGTACCTCACTGTAAGACAACCACAAAATTAAAAGGTTTTCAGGATTTTTTTCTTGCTAGACTATAAAATCTCTTAATTCTTCGATGGATGTACAGTTTGAGTAAACTAAAGCCAGGATTTATAGAAGGTTGGAAAGAAAGCTAGAAATAATGGAAATTAATGGTTTTGCCTTTTGGAGACAAACTGAATAGGACAGAATTATTTATCCAGAGCCAGGATCTTAAAAATACCCAATGAAACAGAGAATAAAAGCACATCCTTTCACACTTCATTGTAAGACTAATTAAGTAATTGGTTTTGGTGATATATACCTTGTTCAGACAATCTTCAGCAAGTTACAGGTACAAGTATGGTTTGAAAAAGTAAATCATCTATGTTTTGTATCCAGGATGCACATTTCAGAAATCCTGATTGCATACTTTAGGCCAGTTATGAAGATACACACTGGCACTGGTTTACAGTTTTTTTTTAAGTTGGTGAGGCTTGAGCCCTGGAAAGCCTTCTCTGAACCCTCCCCCAAGTTGGGTGAAAAGTCCACTGATATATTACTAAGTACTTATGTGTTTATTTACTTCTAAGTACTTATTTGTTTAGATGTCTGTTATTCATAGTGCACTGTAAGGTCCTTGATGGCAGAGACCATATTCTACCCATATTTAAAACACCACTAACATGCTTAATGATAAAGAATAGGTGTTAAATAAATATTTGGTATATGTTTGATGAAAGTCAGGGAGTAGGACAAATGTAGACTGAGCAGGGGAGTGGTCTAAAATGAAGAGTAAAAATATGGTCTACTTTGTACTTTGCTTTCCATGATTTGTGTAAAAAAAAATATTGCCATTTGTGACAACATGGATGGATCTTGAGGGCATTATGCTAAGTGAAATAAGTCAGATGGAAAAGGACAAGAACCATATAATTTCAGTCATATGTGGGATATAAAACAAAAAAAGAAACAGATAAACATACAAAACAAAACAAAACCCTCATAGATACAAATTGGTGGTTACCAAAAGAGAAGGGGGTAAGGAGAGGGCGAAATGGTAAAGGGGGTCAGTTACATGGTAATGGGTGAAATCTAGATTTTTGTGGTGAGCATGCCATAATGTCTAAAAATATTGAATTATAATGTACACTTGAAACTTATATGTTATTAACTTATGTTACCTCAATTAAAGAAATGGGGAAAATCTGTACTCTTGAATCTGAGTCCATCTGTATGACAGGGCCAGGTTTGTATAATATGATCCAGACCTGTCCTGATAAATCTCTGTCTTCTAAACTTCATTATTTATTCTGTCATTTTGCCTGAAATCCCAGGATTATGAGATCTCTTTTGTAAAGTTTGAGAATCCTTGAGGAACTTCCAGGTGATCAGTCCTTCAATTTCCTAGTATAAAGTTGTTGGATCAAGTTGTTGTGCTTTTAACACCTACCTGAGATCAGCACTGAGGAAAAAAGAGTTTTGATTAAAGAGGTGGGGGGATGAGAGATGATGCCAAATTAAGAGAGAGGAGAGAGTATGTTGGAATATGGAACAATAGAAGGGAAATTCAGTCTGGATAGATCACTGCAGATCCTGGTCCTGGGTGATATAAGGGCTAGAAGTGAAGCATAGGTGCAGAAAAGGATTTGGTGAGTGACTAAATAAAATTTAGAATAAACTCATAGACTGCGAGAGTTAGAAGGATTATTACATATCCTTAATGCCAATAGGATGTGGAGATATAGAAAAGTTAAATGATTTTCCCAAGGGCATATGACTGTTTCTAGGTAGAGCTAGAAATAAAACCAACAGAACTTTAATCTTTTTACCAAACCAATAATTAAATTCAGTTCAAATGATTGTTCTACACTCAGTACTGGACTTTACAGTGCTGGAAGTTCAAGTCCCATTTATGATCTTTTACCTTCATGAAGTCTTCCATTTTCAATTCTATGTAATAAGGACTTCCTATTGTGAACATGAAAATACACGAGCAATACTGCCAAGTTTGTGCTGGGACAATGGAATTTTAAGACAGTAAGTGGAAGTCTCTGCCTTATAGCAGATTCAAACCAACTGGGGTAACACATATAATAAAATAAATCATAATAAGTACATACTTTTAATAATCATTTAAAAAGTAAATGGCTTAAATGGTCCAATCAAAACACCTAGGGTAGCTTAATAGATAAGAAAACAAGACCCATATATATGCTATCTACAAGAGACCCATCTCAGAATGGAAGACACACACAGACTAACTGTAAAGGGATAGAAAAAGATATTTCATACAAATGGCAATTTAAAAAAAGTTGGAGTATCAATAGTTATGTCAGATAAAATAAACTTTAAAACAAAGGTCATAATAAGAGACATAAAAGGACACTACATAATGATAAAGGTATCAATCCAATAAGAGGATAAAATGCTTGTAAACCTTTATGCACCCAACATAGGAGCAACTAAATATATAAAGAAAATCTTCACAGATATAAAGGGAGAGTTCGACAGTAATAGAGTCATAGTAGGGGATTTTAACACCACATTGACATCAATGGATAGATCTTCCAGACAGAAAATCAAAAAGGCAACAGCAGCTTTAAATGATACACTGGAGCAGATGGATTTAATTGATATCTTCAGAGCATGTCAACCCAAAGCAGCTGAATATACATTCTTTTCAAGTGCACATGGAACATTTCCTAGGATAAACCACATGTTAGGACACATATTCTCTGACCATAATGGTATGAAACTAGAAATCAACCACAAGAAAAAAAGTTGAAAACCACACAAACACATGGAGGCTAAATAACATGTTACTAAACAATGAATGGGTTAACAATGACATCAAGGAAGAAATCAAAAGATACCTTGAAACAAATGAAAATGACAACACAACAACCCAAAAATCTGTGGGACACAGAGAAAGCAGTCCTAAGAGGGAAATTCAGAGCATTACAGTCCTTCCTCAATAGACAAGAAAAATCTCAAATAAACAATCTAACTTCACACTTAAAGGTACTAGAAAAGAACAACAAACAAAGCCCAAAGTGAATAGAAGAAAGAAAATAATAAAGATCAAAGCAGAAATAAACAAAATAGAGGCTAGAAAAACAATACAAAGGATCAATGAAACCAAGAGCTGGTTCTTGGAAAAGATAAACAAGACTAAACAACCTTTAACCAGACACATCAAGAAAAAAGAAAGAGGACTCAAATAAATAAAATCAGAAATAAAAGAGGAGAAGTAACAACTGACACCAAAGAAATACAAAGGATTGTAAGAAAATATTACAAACAACTATATGTTAACAAATTGGACAACCCAGATGACATAGATAAATTTCTAGAGTCATATAGTTTTCCAAAACTGAATAAAAAAGAAATGGAGGATTTATACAGATTAATTACAACTAATAAAATTGAAGCAGCAATCAAGAAACTTTTAACAAACAAAAGTCTTGGACCAGATGACTTTACAAGTGAATTTTACCAAACATTCAAAAAACAACTAACACCTATATTTAGAATATTCCAAAAAAATCCAAGAGGAAGGAAGACTCCAAAGCTCATTTAAGGAAGCCAGCATTATCCTGTTTCCAAAACCAGATAAAGACACTACAAAGAAACACAACTATAGTCCAATATCCCTGATATATGCTAAAATTCTCAACAAAGTATTAGAAAACTGAATCCAGGAATACATTAAGGAGATAATACACCATGATCAAG